AGCGGTCAGGGTGGGAGGGGAGGCGAATCGGCCCTGGCATGTGCGCTCTGCCTCTCCCCTGCACTGTAGCACGTCTGTCTGTTAACTAGTGACCGGGGTTCTCGGGCAGTCGGTCATCAGTGCGGACGGAGCCCTTGCAGGAGACAGGCTTTCTCCAACCATCCCATTGGCCCAGTGGGAGAACCTATCTCCTCCAGCTGAACCCTAAAAGAATGCCGTCCGTTAATCAGCCCGTAAACATTTTGGGGACCCTTACGACACGCAGGCCCCCCTCTAGGCACTAGGGCTGTGGAGGGTGCGTTCACATGTGCTCTGTCTCACCCAGAATATAAAAAGCTCACAATAAAAGAATGTGACAAGTTTTAACCCTGCTCCGGGGTCTCCCATGGTCCAGGTGGCTACAAACCACTTCTGGGAAGAGCTGCCCAGCCTGGCCCTCTGCCGTCCTCTGTCCCACGGTCCCAGTTTGTTACCACAAGTGCTGGGTGCCAGGTGGACAGCAGGTCAGGGGCAACTATGCCCTAGGTGGGTTGGACACCTGGGACAGGGAGCCTGGCTCGCGAGAGGGCCTGGCCCACCTGAGTCCCCCTCTCCTGGTAGGGAGGTGATGACGCAGAAAAGGTTTTGCAGGACTTGGGGCCCACACTTTGTGTGTGCACGATCGGGAAGTTGACTGAGAGTAGCAGAGAGGAGAGCTGTGGGGAGGCTGAGAGGGATGGAGAAGGGGAGGGACACAGACACACATAACAACAGGCACAGAGAGAGAGTGAGTGGTCTCCCTGGCCACCCCCTGTGGCCCGGAAGCTCCCTCTGCCAGCTCCCGACACTCGGCACGCCTCCCGCTGCCTGAGCTCACTGGCGCATGTGCGTGTGTGCCCAAAATCCCAGGAGGAGGACAGAGGGGGTGGCGCGGTGTGGCCATGGCCCTGGAGGTGTTTCTCACTTTCCCTCTCCCTCTCTCTATCTCCGGTAAGTGTACGTGCCCTATGGCAAACTAAAATTAAAGCACTGAAAAATAAAAAGGAAAGGCAAGACAGGACGGGAGTTTCCCTTGAAGGGCTGCTCTCCCTTCCCACGTCTCTGTGGCCTCAGAGCTGCTCTGGATCCAGAGGGTTGAATCCTAGACACACACACACCCACACGCACATACTGAGGGGAGGCTGTGGGGCCTGATCCCTGACGAGCAGTAAGGGTAGGGCTGCCCCCAACACTGGCAGTGAATTATGGAAAGGGCCCCGGGTCCCTCAACGGAAGAGTGTAGTCCTCACCTGCTCCTGCAGGTAAAGGGAGGCTTCAGAGACCGAATTTTCTATGGTGACCTTGCCCCGCTCCTGGCTCTCCCTCAGCTCAGCCAGCTCCTTCTCTATGTCAGCCACGGTGACCCTGCAGGGATGCGAACAGATCGCCGGGCTCCACTGCCCGCCCACTGGCCTGGGCCCACCAGTGAGTGACCTGGCCAAGGGGGGAGGCAGATCCCTCTCCGCCCTCTAGCTGGCCCTGTCTAGGGCACCTGGGGCCTGCTCTCTGCCAGAGGTGAGTGCCCAGTGTGCTGGCCTGAGAGGCTGCTGGGTAGTGGGACTGGGCACAGAAGCAGAGAGGCCTGGGTGGTTGCCTTCGGCCTCCAGAGACGTCGGGGCAAGGAGCCACTTTTAGCCCTTCTGGGCCCTGGTGCTGAGCTTTCTCAGGAGCCTGGGAAAACTGCCAGAGCCTCACATGGCATGGGTGACATGATGTGCCCCGGGGCAGGGCAGGGGTCAGCGAGGGGCATGACCAAGGCCACTGGCGCTCCTTGGCTGAGAATGTGTGAGGCTAGGATGCCAGCTGCCCGTGCAGGGGCCGTACCCGGGGACGCCCAGCTGCCCGTGCAAGGACTATACCTGAGGACGCCCAGCTGCAGGCTCAGCTGGCCAGTTTTCACCTCCTTCCCTCCTTCTTGCACCGCTTCGGTCTCCAGGAGCCTTTGCATCTTCTCCAGCTACAAACCCAATGGAGGAAGTCAGGCGGTCTGAGCTCTCTGGGTCCTGAATGCACCCCTGCAGCACAAGCAAGCCCCTCCCATGCCCTGATCCCAACTCGGCCTTTTCTGACTGTGCTCAGCACCCCTTGCAGACAGCCACCCACCACGGATGTAGACAGCTGGCATTAGAAGAGCAGCTGAGAGACAGCTCCATGGCTCCTGTGATCTAGCCATTTGGGGAGAAAGGAAGATGTCCCACTGATAACTGGGCCTCCAGCATCCAAAACTCATGTGAACAGCCCTTCTTCAAGAGACAGACAGCTCCATGGCTCCTGTGATCTAGCCATTTGGGGAGAAAGGAAGATGTCCCACTGATAACTGGGCCTCCAGCATCCAAAACTCGCGTGATTGAACTTCCAAGTTTGGGAAGAAACTGATCATCCACCAGATGACTAGAAATCGCTGCAGGACCACAAGAAATATGGGGAAGCAGGAAAATACCTCCCCCACAAGGGAAAAGGATAGCTCCTCTTTATCCACACACAGTTCAATGGAAATCATGGAAATGTCTGATAAAGAATTCAGAACGTTCATAATGGCAAAGCTAACGGAGATGGAAGAGAAGGGAGACAAGGAACTGCTGAAGAGGAAGGACAAAGGAGTTGAAGAGTTCCAGGAGGTGAGGAAATTCATGCTAGATCTAAAAGAGGAATTTCACACTTTACAAAAGAATCAGATGGAACTGTTAGAGATGAAGGCTATAATACAAGAAGTCAAAATCTCCCTTGAAAGTATTAAAAGCAGACTAGATCATACAGAAAATAGAATCTCTAATGTAGAAGAGAAAATGGTTGGCCTAGAAAAATCCACCGCGAAGACTGAGAAAATGGCCCAAAAATTTGAGAATAATATGCGAGAAGTACTAGATACCATCAAACGTCCAAACATCCGGATAATAGGCATCCCAGAAGGTGAAGAGACTCATAAGGGCATTGATAATCTATTCCATGAAATCTTACAAGAAAATTTTCCAAACCTGGAGAGGCACTCAAAGATTCAGTCCCAAGAAATACAGAGGACCCCAAATAGAATCAACCCAAGAAGATCTTCTCCAAGACACATTATAGCCAGATTGACCAAAACCACAGACAAAGACAAGATACTAAGACTGGCAAGAGAAAAAAGGCAAGTTACCTACAAAGGGTATCCCATCAGACTAACGGCAGACCTCTCATCGGAAACAATGAGAGCGAGGAGAGAATGGGAAAATGTATTCAAAGTATTAAGGGAAAAGCAATTTCAACCGAGAATTCTGTACCCAGCAAGGTTATCGTTCATTTGGGAAGAAAAGACACGAACTTTCCCAGATAAACAAAACCTGAAAGAATTTACCAGCACCAGACCGGATCTCCAAGAAGTTCTTAAGGGAGTGCTATGTCAGTAAAATTAAATGCAGACACACAGAAATAAGAGTTCAGAAACTAAGAAAATGGGCAACTTAATTGTAGGGCCAAAAGCTGGAGTTGAGTATTACATCCCAGATTTCAATCTGGAACATCGAACCTCAACAGATACAGAAGAAAGATTAAGTACATGAGACTGAACTGATGAAACAGTATTCTACGACTTGACTAAAATATTGCTGCTTTTCTTCTAAGCTTTGTTGTCTGGTTTTAAGGACTTTTGTCCTGTCTTCAGCTATCAATAGATTCATGTTCCGACTATTTGAACAGAATACTAACCTGTTTCTAGGCTTTAAGTTTCAAAGAAATATCCTTACCAGTTCAAAACTGCTTTTCTTGAAACCATCGGCTGATCTTGCTATTGAAAGTAGTTAGATTACTTATGATATTGTGTGACCAACGAAATGTTGGGGGAAAAGGGATTGAAGACAACTGTAGACAGCAGAGATAGTGTAATAAGAGAGTGGAATAGGGCAGAGGGCTAGACATGGGGTAAAAAAACATATATATGAAAGTAGAAATGGAATATTATGGATGATAACATGCATTATTAAGCCACTATATAGTATATTCTAGATGGGAAACCACATTTAGAATGTTGTGATGATGCTCAGGGAATGAATGTAAATTAATAAAAAAAAAATTTTCAGAAGAAAAAAAAAAGGCATTAGAAATACCTATTTGATGACTGCAGTTAAGCTATATAGCCCTAGTTAGGTGCTACTTTATAGTATGTTCATTCTATTCACTGAGGTTTGTTTATGCCTAAAGTCAGACTTGTGTTCACGGATATGTACATATCAGCTGTGCTTGCTATTGAAAATATTTAGATTTATTAAGATATTTAGTGAAACAATAAAATGGGGGAGGCATAGAAAGGAATAGATACCAGACACAGTAAAAAAAAAAAAAAAAAAAAAAGAGCAGCTGAAGCCCTGGCAGCCCCCTGCAAGGCTCTCTGGCCCCCAAATGTCTCACCACCTGGGCTCCAGAGTGTCCCCTGTAATGCAGGGAGCAGAGGCCTCGCTATGTCCTCAGCTGACTCTTAGCAGCTGTGGCGCCAGCTTCTAAATGCAGGAAGTGAGCACAATGATACCTGAGATGCAGTTCAGATCCGAGGGGACCGCGGAGACCCAATGAGGTAAGAATGAGATACGGAGAGGCCGTGTAAGCCATGGAAACACTGGCGGACATGGCTACCATCACAGCCAAAACCAAAGGAAGTCGGCCCTCCCAGACTTACTTTGGCTTTTTCCTGCCGAACTTCTTTGGTCAAGCTCTTTAAGGTCTTCAGCTGTTCCTGCAGGTCAGGGGGTATGGACTTTTTGACTGTGGAAAATGGAAGTGTCATTGTCAGGGAGGTTAGATCTCTACTGTGCTCTCAGTCTCCATTTCCAACTCCCACGTGATGAAGCTGCCCCAGAGAATAACAAGACATATCACTGGGACCGGCAGTTGGCGTAATGGCTATGGAGTCCCATGTACTCGACTGTGGTTCAAGTCTCAGACCCAGTGGCTTAAACTCACACCAGGCACATGTGCGTGTGTGCCCAAGATCCAAAAAGGAGAATGGAGGAGAAGAGATTGCAGCATGCCCGGGGGGGTGATTTCTCGCTTTCTGTCTCTCTGTCTCTCTCTGCCTTTCTGGCAAGTGCACATGTCCTGTAGCAAAAACCTCAAAAAAAAAAAAAAGACATGTCACTTTATTCTGCTCTTTCCAGTGGTGGAGGGGAGGGGAGGGGACGGAGGGAGCGAGACCATCCCTTGCCCATAACTGGACACCTGACCAGTCATTTCCACCCACCTCCAAAATCTCGATTACCCTCTGGGTCTACAGTTGTGAATGGGCAAACAGTAAGTTTAATCCCTCCACGTTCTCTCTGCCCGCCCACCTCCTAATGCAATTGCTTTCCCTAAGCCCAATGTGCTCCTTGGCTGTTTCCAGGGAGTCTGGCGAAAGCAAAGAGCCTGCTTTATTCCTCTCTGGAGGCCTTTTGACCCCGCTGGTTTCATTCCATCCTTGGCCCACTTATTCGTTTGGACCCTGAAGGCTATGGGAGAACCTGGACTGATTACACAGGGACATGCTGGCTCAGCCCCTGCAGTGCAGCAGGGACATAGTGCCCTGCGAGGCTGGGAGCCATCAGCTAACCGTGGGTTTAAATCCCTGGGTCAGCTCCAAAACATACAGGAAGGTAAGAAGGCACCCGGGATCCCAAGGAGCTGGAGGGCTGAGGAAAGGGCACGGTGGCATGACAAGACCATGCCAAGGGTGCTTTCTGTCTCTCTCTCTTATGGACACATACACTTTCTATCATTAAAAAAGAAAACGGATAGACATGGTATTTTCAGACATGGAGGAACAGGGCCAGCAGCCAGGAGTGGTGGTCGGGGGGAAAACAGTGACATCAACTTGGAACTAAGACTTTCTCTCCTCTGTGGGCAAGCGGTACCCACCCATGAGTGCAAGGAGGTATTGTATCTTCTCTAGGTCAGTCTGGCCGGCTTGCTCCTCGTCCAGATCCTTCATATTCTCCTTTAGCTCCACATAAAGTCCAGTGAGTTCTCCAATCAGACGTAATGTTTCCACAGCCAGGGGGAAGCTGGGAGCCACTTTTTCCAGTGAATCGCGACGCTCACCCTGGACCTCACTTTTTTCTGATGGGGCTTGGTGGAGATAGCTAACTGAGTCTGGAAAAGTAACATCTTGGCCCGGGACAGTCTGAGCAGGAATTCCGGGCCGACTTGAGGCATATATTCTATTTGGATCCAAATCTACCTGGTCATACTGATTGGCACTTGGATACCCTGGACCACCATAGCCAGGATACATCTGGCCACGGTAGTCTGAGACAGGATATGCATGGCCATATTGATCTGTACCTGGATGTTCTTGGCCTTGCTGATCTGGGCTAGGTGTTACCAACTGTGGTTGATCTGGGCGTACAGATCCCAAACGCGTGCCTAAAGGTGTTGGGCCACGCTGATTTGTGCCAGGAAGTGTCAAACCTCGCTGATAAATTTCTGGCAATACCAGACCTCTTTGGTCTATACCTGGCAGTATCAAACTCTTACTGGCTAGGAGTGGTGACACTTGGCCATGCTGTGGTCTGATAGGAGGTATAACACCAGGTTGATATGGGTATGGTGATACAAAAGTCTGAGGATCTGCCTGGAATGTTGGAAAGCCACGAAGCTGTGTGCCTGGTGCTATCAAGCCTCTCTGATCTGCACCAGGTTGTCCCACACCACGCTGATCCATTCCAGGCTGTGCCAAATCACGTGGATAGGCACCAGGTTCAGTCAAACCACGAGGATAGGTACCAGGCTGAGACAAACCTTGTGAATCTGTACCAGGCTGAACCGAACCATAAGGATAGACACCAGGTTGCACTAAACCACGCTGGACTGCACCAGGCTGTACCAAGCCAGGTGGATAGGCACTAGGTTGTACCAAACCATGATAGGTACCAGGTTGTACCAACCTAGGTGGATAGGCACCAGGTTTTACCAAACCAAGTGGATAGGCACCAGGTTGTACCAAACCAGTAGGATATGCACCGGGCCGAACCAAACCAGGCATGTATACACCAGGTTGAACCAAACCACGAGCATCTGTACTAGGCTGGACCAAATCACGCTGACCTGCACTAGGTTGCATCATACCAACTTGGCCTACGCCAGGTTGCACTGAACCACGCTGATCTGCACCAGGTTGCACCATACCAATTTGACTTGTAACAGGTCGCATCAAACCACGCTGATCTGTACCAGGTTGCACCATACCAGTTTGACTGGCAACAGGTTGAATCAGACCACGCTGGTCTGCACCAGGTTGCATGATACCAGCTTGACCTGCAACAGGTTGAAGCAAACCACGCTGATCTGCACCAGGTTGCATGATACCAGCTTGACCTGCAACAGGTTGAAGCAAACCACGCTGATCTGCACCAGGTTGCATGATACCAGCTTGACCTGCAACGGGTTGAAGCAAACCACGCTGATCTGCACCAGGTTGCATGATACCAGCTTGACCTGCAACGGGTTGAAGCAAACCACGCTGATCTGCACCAGGTTGCATGATACCAGATTGACCTGCAACGGGTTGAAGCAAACCACGCTGATCTGCACCAGGTTGCACCATACCAGCTTGACCTGCAACAGGTTGAAGCAAATCACGCTGATCTGCACCAGGTTGTACCATACCAGCTTGACCTGCACCAGGTTGAAGCAAACCATGCTGATCTGCACCAGGTTGCACCACACCAGCTTGACCTGCACCAGGTTGCACCATACCAACCTGACCTGCAACAGGTTGCATTATACCAACTCGACCTGCACTAGGTTGGAGTGAACTCAGGTTGCACCATACCAACCTGACCTGCACCCAGTTGAAGCAAACCTCGCTGATCTACACCAGGTTGTACCATACCAACTTGGCCTGTACCAGGTTGCACCATACCAACCTGACCTGCACCAGGTTGCACCATACCAACTTGACCTGCACCAGGTTGAAGCAAACCACGCTGATCTACACCAGGTTGTACCACACCAACTTGACCTGCAACAGGTTGAAGCAAACCACGCTGATCTACACCAGGTTGCACCATACCAACTTGGCTTGCACTAGGTTGCACCAAACCATGCTGATCCATTCCAGGCTGGACCAAACCATACTGATCCATTTCAGGTTGAACCAAACCACGTTGATCTGCATCAGGTTGTATCATACCAACCTGGCCTGTACCAGGCTGCACCAAACCATGCTGATCCATTCCAGGTTGTAACATACCAACCTGGCCTACACCAGGCTGCACCAAACCACGCTGACCTATTCCATGCTGTACCATACCAACTTGGCCTGCAACAGGTTGCACCAAACTACGCTGATCTGAACCAGGTTGTACCATACCAACTTGGCCTGCAAAAGGTTGTACCATACCAACTTGGCCTGCAACAGGTTGCACCAAACCACGTTGATCTATTCCAGGTTGCATCAAATCAAGCTGACCTGTACCAGGTTGCACCAAACCACGCTGATCTGCACCAGGCTGCACAAAACCACGTTGGTCAACTCCTGGCTGAACCAAACCACCTCGACCTACACCAGACTGGACCAAACCACGTGGATCTGTAGCAGGCTGGATCAAACCAGATACATATGTTCCAGGCTGCACCAACCCAGATGGATATGCATCAGGCTGTACCCAACCAGTAGGATATACATCAGGTTGCACCAGACCATGTTGATCCATCCTAGGGTGGGCCACACCATGCTGATCTATACCAGGCACCAAACCAGGTGTATATGCACGAGGCTGCATTAAACCACGCTGCTCTGCCCCAGGTTTCACTACACCAGGCTGGTCTGTGCCAGGCTGTGCCAAACCAAACTGATCTGCACCAGGCTGCACCAAGCCAAGTGGATACGCACCAGGCTGCACCAAACCAACCTGGCCTGCACCAAGTTGTGCCAAACTAGGTGGATATACACCAGGCTGGGTCAAACCAGGTAGATATGCACCAGACTGTACCAAACCAGGCTGACTTACACCAGATTGTGCCAAATTAAGAGATGTGCCAGGCTGGACCAAATGAGGCTGACCTGCACCAGGCTGCACAACACCTTGTTGGTCTGTGCCAGGCTGTATTAAACCAGGTTGAGTTGCACTAGGCTGCATCAAACCAGGCTGATCCGTGCCAGGTTGTACCAAATCATGCTGATCCATTCCAGGCTGGATCAAACCATGCTGAACTAAGCCAGGTTGCACCAAACCAGGTGTATATGCACGAGGCTGCACCAAACCACGCTGCTCTGCACCAGGTTGTACCACAGCAGACTGATCTGTGCCAGGCTGTGCCAAACCACTCTGATCTGTACCAGGTTGCACCACACCAGGCTGATCTGCACCAGGTTGGACCAAGCCAGGCTGAAAGGCACCAGGCTGAATGAAATCATGCCACTCTGAGCCAGGTTGTATAAAGCCAGGTGTTTCCAAATGGGGCTGTATGGCACCTTGCTGATCTGCACTAACTTGCATCAATGCAGGTGACACCAATCTGTGCTGATCTGTAAGAGGTGGAACTAATCCGTGCCGATCTACACGAGCCAGTCCCAGTCCTTGCTGACCCATGCCAGGGGGTACAAGTCCATGCTGATCTTGGCCTAATACAAATCCATGCTGGCCCATGCCAAGTGGTATCAATCCACGCTGATCCATGCCAAGTGGTCCCATTCCACTCTGTATGCCAGGCTGTTCCATGCCACGTTGATCTGTGCCAGGAAATACCACACCGTGCTGATATGTGCTGAGTGGAACCATACCATGTAAGCCTGTACTTGGTATTTCCAATCTTTGCTGATCTCTGCCAGGTACCAGTGGTGGTACCACACCATGTTGACCTATGCCAAGTGACCCCAATGCTTGCTCATCCGTTTCAGGTGGTATCACACCAAGCTGACCCATGCTGATGGGTACCACACCATGTGGATAAGCGGTAGGATATAGCACTCCAGGCTGGCCCATGCCAGATGGTCCTAATCCATGGTAACCTGGCCTTGGATAGACTTGGCCCTGGCCGATGGGCCCACCATGCGACTCTGGGTACACGCGATCATGCCATTCTCTGGCTGAGGTTATGTCTTGTTGAGCTGGGCTAAGGCGTAAATCTCGTTCGTCTCTTCTCGGATGTGTTGGGGTAGGTTGCTTTCTTCTGTGCCGATCTGACTCCCTGAGCTGGGATGCAGGAGGCTGGTATTGTCTTGGTGTGCCAGCTTCATCATGGGCCCTTGGGTGCTGGTCTCTACTAGAAAAACCAGTAGCAGAAGGGTCCCTGCTTCGTTCTCCACTAGTGACCCCCTCAGAGGGGTATCCGGTGCCGCTGGATCCTGATAAGGTCTGATCTGGGCCCAACCCACTGGCAGAATCCGGAGTCTGGTCAGTACTTGGATACTTGGTGAAGACTCCACCAGGACCTGCGTCATTTGACGTCAAGGAGGTCTGCCTTCTGTGCTTAGGAAGTCCTGTCGATGTGTCTGAGCCCTGGTGGGAGAGGAGGAGGAGATCAGTAACAACAAACCTAAATACTCACTGTAAGGCTTGGAGGGAAAGAACTCTGGGATATCTGACTGGGATACTTTAGGGCCCTTGAAGAAAACACTTTCTGCTCTAAAAGCTGAGCTGAACATGAAGAAAGGCCTCAGCAATCTTGAAGGATAGGTCTCCAGATGTTTGAGAATCCGCACATTTGCGAACAGTAGGATAACATGTAAGTTCCTTCACAAAAGATAGGAGAGAGACCAGTCAGGTGTTACGGTAGCTGGGGCAATTGGAGTCCACATGGCCAAGAACATGTGGGTCAAATCCCAGATACAGCTGCATGAAAAACATGCCAGATACATGTGTGGGCATGTGTGCTCAAAATCCTGAGAGAATGGAGAAGTAATTACAGTGTAGTCATCCCCCTGGGGGGTGTGGGTGCTTTCTCACTTCCCCTCCCCCTCTGTCTCTCTCCTGGGCCAGTGCATGTGCCCTAGAGCAAATTTAAAAAAGGGGGGGGCATGAGAAACTGCTAAACACCAGTGATCCTATGGGCTTCCATTGAGTCTATAAATGATGTCCACCCCATTATTGGCCCATTGCTGCTGGAAAAAGTGTACTCTAGAGGGTAAGTAACCCATACGATGGGACTTAAAAAACATTTATGGAGGGGCTAGCAGGTGGTATAGTAGTTAAGGCATTGGACTCCCACATGGCCAACTGCAGTTCAAGTCCCAGACCTAGTGGCTTGAAACTCACGCCGGTGCGTGTGCATGCATGCTCAAAATCCTGAGAGGAGAAGGGATTGTGGTGTGGCCATCCTCCCCGGGCAGTGATTTCTCACTTTCTCTCTGTGTGTTTCCAGCGGGCACACATGCCCTATAGCAAAAAAATTTCCAAAAAAAATTTTTCCCTGGAAAATAGAATTAAAGTACAAATGTATTACTCCCTCCCTCTGTCTCTCTCCAGCAAGTGCACATGACCTGTTGTAAAATTTAAAAGGAGGAAAGGGAGAAACAGGGAAGATATTTTCAAAAGACCTATGTTGGGGACCAGCAGATGGTGTAGTGGTTACATCACTGGACTCCCACATGACTGACCATAGTTCAAGTCCCAGGCCTGGTGGGTTGAAAATCATATCAGGCATGTGTACGTGCACACTCTAGATCCCAAGAGGAGAATGGAGAAGGGACTGTAGTGTGACCATCCCCCTCCGTGGGTGGTTTCCCAATTTCCCGCTCACTGTGTCTGTTTCTCTCTCCAGTGAGTGTATACACCCTACGGAAAAACCTCTTTAAAAATAACCTATGTTGAATTTATGGAAATAAAAGTGATAATGTCTGAGATGAAAAATACATTGAAATGAAATTAATAACAGAGTAGACACTGGAGAATAAAAAATTATAGAACTTGAAGGCATAGCAAGAGAAACTATCCAAAATAAAATGAGAGAGAAAAAAGTGTAAAAATATAAACAGCATCTGTGAGCTGTCATATAATTTCAAATATATATGAGTAGTCAAAAAGGCGAGTGAAAATGCGTATTATGAAAAAAATATGTATGGGTCTCACAGTTTTTGCACCACAATAAACTCATTTATTTTTATCTTATTTTTTCCTTTTGCTTTAGGGTGCATGCACTTGCTGAAGAGAAAGAGAGGGATGGTGAGAAATCACCCCCTGGAGGGTGGCCACACTGCATTCCCTTCTCCTCCATTCTCCTCTCAGGATTTTAGGCATGCGCACACACATGCCTGGCATGTTTTTCAAGCTACCAGGTCTAGGACTCCCACCACAGAACTAGCCATGTGGGACCCCGCCATCTTAACCTTCACACCATCTGACTGACCCAATAAACATACATTCCAATTTTCCATTAGCTTTGGGAACTACTCTCACGCATGTACAATGCAGAGTCACGTGTCACTTAACAGCAGGAACAGGTTCTGGAAAAAGCAAATGTGGTAGCACAAGCGGGGGGTCGGGGGGCACTGCCGCATGATGCCTGAAGCTCCATCAAAGACCTGGGTTTTGTTTTGGCCCAACCTTAACGGGCTAGGTATGGTGGCACATGCCTGTGGTCCCAGACTTACTGGGAGGCTGGAGTAGTAAGGACGGTGAGGCGGTAAGATGCTATAAAAAATACCTCTCTCAGGCTGGCCCCATGGCCTGGTGGTTATGGGTACTGGATCTCACATGACCAATCACACAGTTCAAATCCTGGCCCCAACATCTTGAAATACACACTGGGCATGTATGCATGCATGCCCAAAATCCCTACAAGAAGGGATTTCATATCCCATTAGGGAGTTTTTCCCCTCTCCCTCACTCTCTCTGGTGAACACAGACACCTTCCAGCAAAGTTTTTAAAAGTACAATAAAATTCACTAGAGAGGCTCGACAGTAGATTTGAGCTAGAAGAATCAGCAACCTTGAAAATAGACCAGTTGAGATTATTTAGTCTGAGGAACATAAAGAAAAAAATAATAGAAAAAATGAACAGAGCCTTAGGACCAGTGGGATATTGTTCCTATAAGACATTACCAGAAATTTAGTGGCTTAAAATAATACTTTTTTTTTTTTTTTGGAGAGGTTTTTGCTATAGGACGCGTACACTCACCAGAAAGACAGAGAGAGACAGAGAGACAGAAAGCGAGAAATCACCCCCCAGAGCGGATGACCATGCTGTAATCCCTTCCCCTCCATTCTCCTCTCGGGATCTTGGGCACACACGCACCTGGCATGAGTTTAAGCCACTGGGTCTGAGATTCGAACCATGGTCAGCAACATGGGAATCTAGCGACATAGCCATTACGCCAGCTGCTGGTCTCGACAGTTTTATTCTCTTATAGTTCTTGATGAAGGAAATCGAAACTGAGGGGCCAATAGATGGCATAATGGTTACCTCACTTCTGTGAAGTCCCTTTGCCATGAGAGGTAACATATCCATAAGCTCTGGGGATCAGGACATGGCTATACTTGGAGAGTCATTATTTAGCCTACTTCTATACATATGATGGAAGCCCCAGAAAAAGAAGAGAAAGAGAAAGGTGCAGAAAAAAAGTATTTGAGTAATGGCCAAACTCTTTCCAAGTTTGCTTAAGAACATTAACCTACACGTCCAAGACGTTCAATGAACTCTAAATAATATAAACACTAAGAGATCCGCACCTAGACACTTCACAGTCACACTGTCCCCAAACAGAGAGAATCTAGAAAAGAGCAAGAGAAAAATGACTCATCGCATATGAGATCCCCAATAGGATTAGAGTGTTTTTGTTTTGCTTTTTAAGAGATGTTTGCTATAGGGCACATGTGCTCCCCAGAGGGAATGTCCACGCCACAATCTCTTCTCCATTCTCTTCTTGGGATTTTGGGCGCACATGCACCTGGACTGAGCATCAAGCTGCCAGGTCCGGCACGCGAACTGCATCTGACCATGTGGGAGTCCAGCACCTTAGCTACTATGCAACCTGCTGGCCCCAGGATCCCCAGTAAGGTTAAAAGCTGACTTCTCATCAAAAACCTTGGAGGGGACCAGCAGGTGGTGTGGTAGTTAAGGCGCTGGACACTCCCACATGGTTGACCACAGTTCGAGTCCCAGACCTGGGGGCTTGCTTTCTTACTTTCCCTCTCTCTCTCACACACACACACTCTCTCTCTTTCTCTCTCTCTGGTCAATTTAAAAAATAAATGAATGAATAAAATAAATAAATAAAATTTTTTTAAAAAGCAACCTTGGAGGACAGTGGGATAATGTATTCAAAGTGATGAAAGAAAACCAGGTAAGAATTCCTTACCTAGCAAAATTTATGTATGACTGTCTTTCAGAAATGAAAGAGAAACTAAGACATTTCCTGATAAACAAAAACTGAAAGAATTCATTGTTAACAGGCCTGCACTAAAAGAAATACAAAAGGGAGTTCTTCAGCCTGAAACAAAAGGACATGTCTCTCTCTGTCTGTCTGGCGAGTGCACGCGCCCTACAGTGAAAATCTCTCCAAAAATAAAAAATAAAAAAATAACAGAATACGGACCAGCCCTTTAGCGCCGTGGGTTAGTGCTACACATAGAAAGTTGGATTGCACACGGCTGACCACGGTTTGAATCCCAGCCCCGAAGTCTTGAAAACACACTGGGTGCAATGTCCCACAATCCTGAGGGGATTCAGAAATGAAGGAAAAATTATCACAATGACCATGTGCCATGGGGCGGGCAGGGTTGCTTGGTCTTTCTCTCACTTTCTGGCGAGAGAAACATATATCTATGTTTAAGAAACAATAAAATAAAAGCGTGTATAGATGTATTATTATTTTTTTTCCTCTATAGGGCGCGTGTGCTCGCCAGACAGAGAGAGAGAGAGAGACAGAAAACGAGAAATCACCCCCCAGGGGGGATGGTCACGCCGCAATCCCTTCTCCTCCATTCTCCTCTCGGGATCTTGGGCACGCACGCACACGCGCCCGGCGTGAGTTTTAAGCCACCGGGTCCGGGATGCGAACCGTGGTCAACTACATGGGAGTCCAGCGACATAGCCATTACGCTAACTGCTGGTTCCCTAGATGTATTATTTGTAATTCTTTTCTTCTCTTGAGTGATTTTTTTTTTCTTTTTTAAGATTTTTGCCATAGGGCGTGAGTAGAGAGAACGAGAAAGTGAGAGATCACCCCCACCCCAGGGGATGGCCACGCCACAATCCCTTCTCCACTCTCCTCTTGGGTTTGGTATTCAGCTCCCTTAGCACCACACCACCTGCTGGCCTGTTCTCCTGAATGATTTGAAACACAACCGCGTAAAGGAAAACTTCTAAAATGCCTTTGCTGTCTAATACTGTCTAAAATGTAATTTGATGTGAGACGACCCCATAGAGAGAGGTCGCAGCCACTTGCCCGTCAGTATGTGCCCTGCTCTCCAGCTTTGCCTTCACAGTTCCTGGGAGATCTGGACCTAGTCCCCGTGTTGAAAACGTGTCCAGTGCGCTAAAGACGTTTTACCGCCTCTCTCTCAGTTGAGGTCGGCAAGTAAGAGTTTTAGTTTTTGTTTTCTACTTTATTTAGATTGTCAGGCTACAAAAACTTTGAAGAGAAAGTGTCCTCCATCTTGGGCATGCTTTTTATGCAAAAAACATCTGTCCTCAACGTCCTTGGACTTAGTACCTGGTCACTGGAATATTGTTCAATTCTGCCGTTGTCGCATGCCTGGCATAGCCGGGTTAGCTGGGACACTCATATTACTTTGGTCACGGGAAACGGGAAACCGAGGAAGCTTTTTCCTCCCTCTGTGGCTAGAGTTCAAAGGTGGGGTCTTCCTGGTTTCAGGAAGTCTGTTTTTCTTTCTTACCATTAAAAGAAGTGTGTGTATGGGGTGGCGGAGGCGGGGGGGGGGCAGGCAGTGGCGCAGCAGCGATAAAATGCAACACTCCGTGAGGCTGACCCTCATGAGAAGGTTCCAGGTCTTGTCCAGAGACCTCCCAAGCACACCAGGCACGTGTGTGCCCATGACCAAGGCTCTTTGTTGGAAGTTCTCTCTCTTTCTGTTTCTCTCGCTCATTGAAGAAACAAACTCTACGTTTTTATATACTTGCCAGAGGGTGCATGTGCTTAGAGAGCCAGAGAGTCAGAGAAAGAAAGAGGGAGCGTGGTCACGTGGTAAGCTCTTCTCCATTTCTCCATCCTCCTAGGATGCTTTAAAAAATGGGTGGGTGGAGGGCAGCAGATGGTGTAACAGTTATATCGCTGGACTCCCACATAGTCAACTGGAGTTCAAGTCCCAGACCCAGCAGCTTGAAACTCATGCCAGGCATGTGTGCATGCATACCCAAAATCCCAGGAGGAGGAGAATGGTGGAGAAGGGATTAGGGTATGGCCATCCCCCCTGGAGGGTGATTTCTTACTTTCTGTCTCTCTGGTGAGCATACATACCCTATAGCAAAAAATGTCTCCTTAAAAGTTTTTTTTAGGGATCATCAGTTGGCATAATGGCTATGTCACTGAACTCCCATGCCATTGACCGCAGTTCAAGTCCCAGACCTGGTGGCTTAAACTCACACCGGCACGTGTGTGTGCATGCCCAAGATCCCAAGAGGAGAATGGAAAAGAAGGGAGTGGGGCGTGGCCATCCCCCTGGGGGGTGATTTCTCACTGTCTCGCTCTGTCTTTCTGATTAGCACACGTGCCCTATGGCAAAAATCTCTCCAAATATATATATATTCATACTTATAAATTTTTAATTTTTAAGAACTATTGGGGGGACCAACAGGTGGTGTGGTGGTTAAAGGTGCTAGACTCCCACATGGCTGACCACAGTTTGAGTCCTGGACCTGGTAACTTGCTTTCTCACTTTCCTTCTCTCTCTCTGTCTGATCAAACTGGAAAATAATAACAATAATAATAATAAAGTTAAATAAAATAATAAAAAAAAGAATTGTTGAGAGACCAGTAGATGGCATAATGGTTATGTTGTTGGACTCCCACATGGCCGACTGCAGTTCGAGTCCCAGACCGGGCAGCTTGAAACTCAAGCTGGGCTTGTGTGCATACATGCTCAAAATCCCAAGAAGATAATGGAGAAGAAGGGACTGTGATGTGGCCATATCCCCTGGGGGGTGCCTTCTCACTTTCTGTCTCTGTCTCTGTTTCTCCAGTGAGTACATGTGCCCTATAGCAAAAATTTCTCTCTTAAAAAAGAGAATTATTGGATTGTCAGAAAAGTCATGACACATGACCAGCAGATGGCATGATAGTTACATTGCTGGACTCCCACATAGTCAACTGTGGCTTGAGTCCTGGGCATGGGGGCTTCAAATTCACACTGGGTGTGTGTGCATGTGTGCCCACCCAAAATCCCCAGAGGAGAATGGAGAAGAGGGGATTACAACATGGCCATCGCCCTGAGGGTGATTTTTCACTTTGTTTTTCTGTCTCTCTGGCAAGCACAAGTGCCTATAGCAAAAATCTCACTAAAAAAAAAAGAAAGAAAAGTCATGATGCATCTTTGCATAGAAAAATACTAAAAAAGCCTGTCTGAACAGATCCTCGGAAAGAGCTGATTTATGTCCGTCTGTAGGTTCAAGTCCCGGACAGGCCTCTTGCACACGCACTGAATGCTTTTAACTGTGGCCAACCGACCCCTTTCTGAAGTCAGGTTAACTGAATAAATGTTCCTCCTCCACATCGACCACCCGGTCCTCACCCCTACACTTGCGCCTGGCTCTCTGCTCACGACACACAGGTGCACTGCACACTTACCTGGACGTTACCACTGTCTGCCCAAGCCCAGAACTGACCTCAGGAACATTCTGTGTCAAAATCCTGATTTCATGTGTACGCTAAAGGGCCCACCGGACAGGATAGGCAGGCAAGTGACGTTGTCCCAGGAGGTGGGTGCTATGTGCCCGACTTGAGGAGGTGACACTCCCTGTTGCTTTTCAGTATGGCCTATGCAGCGGCTGAACTTGTCATCACCAGAACCTAGTCACTTGCTTCTCAAACATCTTGTAATGTTTACTTTTTTAAAAAATATGTTATTTTTCGTTTCGCTATAAGGAACATACTCTCACTGGAGAGAGACAGACAGAGAGAGGGAAAGTGAGAGATCACCGGCTGGGGGGATGACCACACCACAATCCCTTCTCCTCCATTCTCCCCTTGGGGCTTTGGGCACACATGCACATGCGCCTAGAATGTTTTGCTTTGTTTTTTGTTTTTTGTTTTTTTGATATAGGGTGTGTGTACTCGCCAGGAAGAGAGAGACAGAGAGACAGAAAGCGAGAAATCACCCCCCAGGAGGGATGGTCACGCCACAATCCCTTCTCCTCCATTCTCCTCTCGGGATCTTGGGCACACATGCACATGCACCCGGCGTGAGTTTAAGCCACTAGGTCCGGGACTTGAACCACGATCGACTACATGGGAGTTCAGCAACATAGCCATTACGTGGCCAGGGACTTGAGAATGATTTAGTCACCCTGCAGTTCCTGGGCCGTCAGACAATGCCGTGTATAAAAGTCACCATCAGAAAAGAATCCCTTGAGGGGACCAGCAGTTAGAGTAATGTCTATGTCACTGGACTCCCACGTAGTCAACCGCAGTTTGAGTCCTGGACCCGGTGGCTTAAAACTCACGCCGGGCGCGTGTGCATGCGTGCGTGCCCAAGATCCCAAGAGGAGAATGGAGGAGAAGGGATTGTAGTGTGGCCATCCCCCTGGGGGGTGATTTCTCGCTTTCTGTCTCTCTGTCTCTCTCTGTCTTTCTGGCAAGCGCACGTACCCTATAGCAAAAACCTCTCCAAAAAAAAAAAAAAGAAAGAAAGAAAAAGAATCCCCCGAGGAGGTTAATTTCCACGGGTGGTCACCCTGACTTTCTAGTAGTGAAGGGAAGTGTACGTTTTAGGGCAGACTGTAAAGGAAGTTCAAAGAGCTACAAAAATGGGGCGGGCTGATGGCATCATGACTAAGGTGCTAGATCCCATGTGGCCGACTGTGTAGTTCAAATCCAGGACCTGACAGCTTAAAAAACACTCTGGTTGCATGTGTATGTGCCCAAAAATCCCGACGGGAGGGAGAAAGGGAGCGGGCTGCAGCATGGCCATCTTCCCTGGAAGCTACAAAACAATGAAAGCTATACTCACATATTATCAGACAAACTGGCGGAGCCGCCCAAAACATGGGGTACTGACATGCAGTGCTTGGGGGGATGTCAGGAAATGAGCTCTCGCTGCTGCTGCTAGGGGGAGTCTGTTGGAAGGATATTCAGGAAGGCCATCCGGCCGCCAGATCACATGTTCCTAGCTAGGGACTGAGCCTATGTGCACACACGCAAATGTCACCTTGGAGCAATTGTTGGGAGACCAGAGTAAACATTCCAGACACCACCGTATGGATCTGGTGAAATAAATCAGGAACGTCCATTCAACAGGACGCTGTGCAGAGTGACAGGGAGAGGCTTGGGGTGCCCCATCTGCTCACCGCTTGTGAGGCCTTCCAGCCATCGGTGATCGCCTGCTCCAGCTCCTCCCAGGTGACCATGGTTGCTTCCTCACCAGGAACCAAACTCAGCGTCCGGCCCACTTGATCCTGCCGTGACAGACCACACACACACGTGCACACACACATACATAACTTTAGTGTGATCCCAGGAAACTTTAGGAACAGCGTGAGTTTGCGGGACCAGGTGGGTCCTTCCACAGTCCCGCCCCAGGGGGAGTCCACTGTTCTGTGACCACTGATTCTTGGTCCCATGCCAGCCCCTGACAGAGCACTGGGCAGGGTGGAGAAGATGCCTCTCAATCTAGGGGCACTGCCCACAGGGGCAGAGGGCACACACTGCCCTGCCTGGAGCGACGTGGACATCCACAGTGGGGTGTGCACAAAGGGCCAGACGGAGGCCGACCACCCCCACCTCTGTACCCCCCGCTCCTCTGGAGGGCCCTGCCCCACAGAACTGGCCAGTATTACCAGGAATTCATCTCGGTCTTTGACCAGCTTCTCTAGTTGACCAATCCGCTGGAGGAACTCCTGGAAGAAGAGGTCAGAGATGGAGGATCACAGCAGCCTCCTGTATGTCCCCTATGCACACACAGGCATACACACATGCACACACACACACTCATGCACACACACAGGCACACACGCTGGCTTGTTGCAGGGAGAAGAGGAAAGGGGGCGTGTACGTGGCGCCTACTTGAAGGACAGCTGCCAGTAAAGCCAGGTTCTCACCAGCGAGAGGGGGGAAGTGGGGGCTGTGGGGACAAGGGTACTGGAGTCAGTATTAACGCAGGGACTGGAGCTCCAGTCCTGCAAATCATGTCGCTCTGGCCATTAATGAAACATCCAGTACTGCGGGACAGGCCACCTGGCCTCTCAGGGACACAAAGTACCAGGCACTTCAGTGGCATCTGAACATCTGTGCCTTTTAAAGAGACAAGCACCTCCAGAGAACCAAGCAAGCCCCAAGGCTCAGGCTGCTCCTTGTACCTCCAGAGCCCAAAATTAGCTAAAAGCAAAAGCCAAACCCCACCACACTTAAACAAATGTGAAAGAAAAGCAGGTATGTGTCAGATACGGTGCCTGGGAACGGAGCCAGGGGTCCCTCTGGGGCCTGCTCTCCCTGCCTTCTGCAGTCTCTCCTCTCGGCCTCTCCCTAGACGTTCTTCCTGATAGCCTCTCTTCCCCGCGGTCCACCCTGGCTGGCTCCTGCAGGCTGAGCATCAGCCAGGGCAGGGTTTCCCCCCAAGGAGACCAGAGCCGGAGGGGGACTGCTGGCTGCTGGCAGCTGCCTGGGCTCTTCCTTACAGGGAGCGGGCTGGGGCGCAGCCTCCACTGAACTCCCCCCTCTGGGCTGGCCTTTTCTTTTGGCACCTGCCATATGCCTTTAATCTTTGTTAAAGGTTATTTGTTCTAGGAATATTCTGAGAAGTTGCGGGCAGTTCAGGGTCCATGGGTGTCTGATAAGTGAGGGGTGAACCCCAGAGTAAGTGGGCAGGAAGGAGGAGCTGGGAGTGCGGTTGCTCGTGCCCCACCTGGGGCTTCCCCTGCAGGAACTCCTGTGCCCGTTCCTGGGATTCTTTCAGTTTCTTCACGTCTTGCATGACGTCCTGCAGCAGCTGCATGGCCTGAAAGGCAGAACGGGGCCTGGGTGTGGCCTGGGCTCCTCCCCGCGCAGCCGCTGGGAGGGCCGGGAATCACCTTCGCCACTCCGACCTCCTGGGTCATCACGGGCTCCGTCGACCCTACCTGTGACTTCTCGGGTTCCAGCGAGCCCAGGTCCTTCAAGTCCACCCACTCGCGGGCGCCCGCGTCCAGCCCGCCGGCCTGCGAGGCCAAGTGCTGCAGCAGGCCCTTCACCCGGCCGCCGATGGCCTTCACCTGCCGGCCCAGGTCCTGCACCTGGCTCCCCAGC